GGTGAGTGGCGGGTTGGGGGGCAGCCGTGGGGCACAGACCCCCCCCCTGCCAAGCCCTGAGCCCCCTCCTCTGCCGCAGGCACGGGGGAGCTGCGGCTGGTGGGGGGCGGCGGGCGCTGCGCCGGGCGGGGGGAGGGGTATCACGAAGGGGAGTGGGGCTCCGTCTGCGTCTACGACTTCGACTGGGAGGCCCATTGGGCCACCGTGGTGTGTCGGCAACTGGGCTGTGGCTCGGTGGCCAAGGCATCGGTCTTCGCCCCCTTCGGGGAGGGCACCGGCCGCATCTGGCTCCAGCCCTTCTGCCACGGCACCGAGAAAAGGCTGCAGGACTGTCTCCACTTAGGCTGGGGACAGAACTTCTGTGGCCACAGGTGGGACATTGGGGTGACCTGCACAGGTGAGGAGGGGGGACCGAACGGCCGTGTGGGGTGGGACATGGGGTGTCCCCCCCCGGCCACCCTGAAGCTGGTGCCCCGGTGCAGAGGCGGTGGAGCTGCGGCTGGCGGCCGGCGGGGGTCCCTGCGCCGGGAGGGTGGAGGTGAAGCTGCAGGGACAGTGGGGCACGGTGGCGGACAACTACTGGGACATGGAGGATGCCGAGGTGGTGTGCCAGCAGCTGGGCTGTGGCTCGGCCACCGGTGCCTACATGGCTAGCAGCCGCTTCGGCCGAGGAAGTGGCCCTGTCAGCCTGGGAATGATCGACTGCAAGGGGACCGAGACCGCCCTCTGGGACTGCGAGGTCCTTGGCTGGGGACCCTACATCTTCCTTCATGACTTGGACACCTCTGTCGTCTGCCAAGGTGGGAGCCAGGCAATGGTGGGGACAGACTTGTCCTGGAATGTTCCCCCCCCCCCCAAACCCCCCGTTTCCTCTCCCGGTTAGGGTTCGCCCGGCTGGTGGGTGGCCCCGATGCCTGCGCCGGGCGGCTGGAGGTGCGGAGTGGCCGAGCCTGGGTGGGCGTTTGCCAGGACGAGGTGGACATCAAGATGGCCCAGGTGGTCTGCCGGGCGCTGGGCTGCGGCGAGGCGCTGGCCGTCCCCGGTGCCAGCCACTTCGAGGCGGGAACGGGGCCGTTATGGGAGGGGGGGTTCGACTGCACCGGCACCGAGCCCCTCCTGGCCTCCTGCACCCGACGGCCACGCCGTGGGCAGGGCTGCTCCGGCCACGCCACCGTCATCTGCTCCCGTAAGCACTTGGGGACAGCGGGAGGGTGTTGGGGGGTGCCCCCGCTGTCCCCCCCCAAGCCCACCGCCCTTTTTGCCGCAGCCTACACCGGTTTCCGTCTGGCGGGCAACGAGTCGGGCTGCGCCGGGAGGGTGGAGGTGGAGGCGGGGGGGACGTGGGGGTCCCTCTGCGCCAGCGGTTGGGACCTGCCCGACGCCCACGTCCTCTGCCGCCACCTCGGCTGCGGCCCCTCCGCCCCCACCGTGCCACCGGGAGGCTCCTTCGGCGGCGGGGACGGGCGGCTGCGGCCGGACGCCTTTGGCTGCGGCGGGAGCGAGCGGCACCCGGGCGAGTGCCCCACGGTGAGGCTGGGGGAGCCCCCCTGTCCCCCCGGCCACGCCGCCGCCGTCACCTGCTCAGGTGGGTATGGCCGGGAAAAAGCCTTAAGGGGACCCCAAAAAGCGTGTCCCGAGCCTTTTTTGGGACTGCCCAAAAGCGGGGAGCGGAGGGCGCAGGGCCGTTGTGGGGCGAAGGGAAGGCTGTGTCCCCACGGCTCCCCCGGGGATGTTGTAGGTGTCGCCGAGCCCCTGCGGCTGGTGGAGGGGGAGAGCCGGTGCGACGGGCGCCTGGAGGTTGCCACCGGCCCCGGTGCCTGGGCCAGCGTGGCGGCGGGGCCGTGGGACGCCCAGGGGGCCAGCGTGGTGTGCCGGCAGCTGGGCTGCGGCGTGCCGGAGAAGGTCTACGCCGTGCCGGGCTCGGGCACCGCGGCGCTGCCGGGGCTGCGGTGTGATGGCACCGAGGAGAACCTGGCCCAGTGCAACGTCTCGGGGACAGCCACCACCCTGACCAGCAGCTCCAAGGAGGTGGCCACCACCCTGACCAGCAGCCCCGAGGAGGTGGCCACCACCCCGACCGGCAGCCCCGAGGAGGTGGCCATCATCTGCTCAGGTGAGTGACCCGGGAAGGGTCAGGGGGTGCCAGCACCCCAAGGGGCCACCCCATCCCCATCCCCTCCGTGCCCCGCAGGCAGCCGGCGGGTGAGACTGGCCGGTGGCTCCGGCCGCTGCGCCGGGAGGGTGGAAGTCTACGTCCAGGGCAGCTGGGCCAGCGTCTGCCAGGAAAAGTGGGACCTCCCGGATGCCACCGTCGTTTGCCGCCAGCTGGGCTGCGGAACGGCGCTGGTGGCACTGGGCTCCGATGGCTTCGGTCCCGGCACGGGGCCAGCGTGGCCGGATGCCGGTGGCTGCGCCGGGAGCGAGGCGTCTCTCTGGGATTGCCCGTCTCCGGCAGGGCACGGCTGCCGGCGCGGCGGCGGGGCGAGTGCCATCTGCTCCGGTGGGTGCCCCGCAGCCCCAGCCCATGGGGACCATCAGCCCTGGGGGTGGGGGGGTTCCTGCCCCATGCGTGCCGTGACCCCCCCGCTGTACCCCCTTGCAGAGCATCGCTCCCTGCGGCTGGTGGGTGGCAGAGAGCGCTGCAGCGGGCACCTGGAGGTGTTCTACAAGGGGACGTGGGGCCGCGTGTGTGCCAATGGCACCAGCCCCGAGACGGCCAGCGCCGTCTGCCAGCAGCTGGGCTGCGGGGCCCAGGGGAGGCTGGTGGCCGCCCCCTCCCCGTCCCCGTCCCCCGCCTGGCTGGCCTGGGTGGGCTGCCAGGAGGGGACCCGCTGGCTCTGGCGCTGCCCCTCGGCACCCTGGCACCTGCAGCCCTGCAGCCCCGACGGGGACGCCCACGTCACTTGTGACGGGGACATGGGGATGCCCACCCCGTCCCCAGGGAGCCGCTGCCCGGAGGGTGCCACTTGCACAGGTAGCTCTGCCCATCCCGGCAGCCCCCCCGGCCCCAGCACCGCCTTGGTTGGGGTCTCTTCCCCCCTCCACCGTGACACCCCCCTGGTGATGTCCCCACAGATGTCCCCAGCAGCACCACGGTGGCGGCAACATCGAGGAGGGTGCCGGTGCCCACGGTCCTGTGCGTGGTCCTGGGGACCCTGCTGTGCCTGGTCCTGGGCGCCCTGGCCGTGCAGACGTGCCGTGCCCGCGCTTGGTGCCGAGGTGGGGTCCCAGCGGGAGGGTTTGGGGGTTTGCTGGGGGCTCCCCACCATGGGGCGGCTCGACCCCGGTGCCACCCGCGGTGCCACCGCCCCGGGTGAGCGCTGCCGGTCGTCTCAGGCCCTGGCAGAGCCACAGGCGCCGTCTCTGATGCCATCTACGAGGAGCTGGACTGCACCCTGACGCCCGAGTACCAGGAGGTGCCCAGTCGCCCAGGTGGGTGCAGCCCCCCCCGTGCCCGGTGGTTGTCCCCAAAGAAGGTGGGGGGGGCTCAGCCCCACGGCCCCACCGCAGCACCGGGTCCTGGTGGTGTGGCACCGGCTTGTCCCTGTGGTGTGGGGGTGTCCCTGGTCCCACCGTGGCCCCCTTCTGCGGTGAGGGACTGTGGCTGCCCCCCCCGACACCCTGTCCTCCCCCCCCAGGCTCCCCGTCGGAGGGGTCGGGGACGAAGCTGCCGTATTACACCGGGGACAGCGAGGAGGAGAACGACCCCGAGACAGCCCCAGGTAGGGGCAGGGGAGCAGCGACCCAGTGGGGACCCCCGGGGAGAGGGGACACGGCCAGGCACTGGGGAGCCAAGGGGACATGGACCCCCCCCCTGCTCTAAACCTCCCCCAGCTCTGCTGCCACTCGTTAGCGTAGAGCAGAACATCCTTTCCCTGGTCATTCATCCCCGCTGCAGCTCTGGCTGAGAGCCTGCAGCCCCAGTGCCACCAGGACAACCCCCGGTGGCGTGGCTGGAGGTGGGGGTGGCACAGCCAGACCCCCTGCCACAGCCCCCGCTTCACCCCCATCCACCCCCGTGCCTGCCCCAGACCCCCCTGCCCAGCCCGAGCACGGCCCCCCCGACGGCTACGATGATGCTGGGGCCGCGCTGGAAGAGCCCCCCGCTCCCGGCACCGGGGACGTCTCCCAGGGGGTGGCACGGAGGAGCTGGAGCTGTGTCCCACCCACAGGTAAGAGGGGCCACGGCCCCCCTGTCCCCTGCAGAGCCATCTCTGGGGGGGTCACTTGGCTCTGGTGGCGGGCAGGGAGAAGGTGGCACATCCCTGGGGGCAAGACCCATGGGTCTGGCAGGAGGGGCACAAAGCAGCCCCTTCCCCCCCACCCCCAAAAGAGCCTGGCCTTTGGTGTCCCTTAAGGTGGGAGCTGCCCCCCGCCAAGTCCCCAGGGAGCCCCAAGGGACCCCCCGGGGGACACAAACTACGACGACGTGGGCATCAGCACCCTGGGGACATCGCCGTGAGGACGCCCGGGCCACAGCGCGGGGGTCCCTGGGGACACACCTGCAGGGTGGTGGGGCTCTGTCCCCAAGAAGGGGTGGCCCTGGCTACGGAGGAGGTCACCTCTCCCTGCCCAGGACCACAGCACAGCGACAGCACAGCTCCCCCGGCCCCCGGGCAGGCTTTGCTTTTATTATTTCATTCTCCATTTATCCTTCTTTCTTTTTTTTTCTATTATTTTTCTCTATTAAACCCCCCAACTGGGTGGACACTGGCTTCCAGGGCTGGCACCTCTCTGCCGGGTCCCTCTGCCATCCCGCGGGGACGTGGGGCAGGAGCTGGACCCACAGGGACATCCCTGGGGACGCAGGGACAGGGGGAGAGAGGAGGGGGAAGAGCCAGGGGACTGGCCCCGGGGCCTGTCTTTGTCATCGCCCAAAACTCTTCCCAGCGTGGGGAAACCGGGAGAGGGAAGGAGCAAGACCGGCCCTGCCCTGCCCCCCAGCAGATGCAGGCAGGACCCCAAGTGTGGGGCAGGCTCAGACCCAGGGAGGCTTCTCCCCACCTTCAGCAGCACCTGGGAGGTGCCTGTGGTTGTGCCCGTGGGATGCCCAGAGGTTCCAGGGGGATGCC